AACATTTTTGAACAGCAGTGAAATCATGTCTACATATTCATGGGTAGTTTACAGAATACGGTTCATGGTTGAAAATGGAGTTGTTTATGACTCCAAAGATAATGCATTCAAATGGCAAACATCAGGCTCTCAGTTGCATTGACCAGCTCAATCCTGGGTTTAACCCCCAGTATTTCAAGGAATTTCCCCAAAAAGTTATTTGGGGAAATCTCACAGGCATGTTACTCAATGTCTATCACTTTTCAAATTAATACTTAGAAATTTTAAGTCATTCATCCTTGCCCTCCTGCTCTTGTTTTGTTCTGTTTTTTTGTTTTTTTTCCCATAAAAAAAGGTTAACTAAGGGATGGTAAACATAAACCTCGTTCTTAGCTAAAAACTTTCAAGAGCACATTGTCATTTATGTGTCTTCCTAACAATAGAGATATTGTTAGATTATGGTTGACAGAGCTTTCTAGGTACTCATAAAAGGAATTTCTAATGTTAACATTTCAAAGACTATCTGATTAATCTTTACTCATCTATAAGTACTTCAGCTACCTAAATTCATTTTAAAATAAAAATTCAAATATGACCCTGTCCTATATAACAGCTAATTATTTTCAATGCGTGCTCAAGGAAAAAATTGAAGTAGAAGTTTTATATTTCTTAAATGTAGTTTTTAAACTCTGAAACTATAATGTTTGCATAATATCCATATTTTTCCTATAAACTTATACATAAAATTACAGGATTTTCTATATATATTATATGATATATATATAATATATATATAGTTTAATTCTGTCTTCCAAAGGCTTCCTAGGCATTTACTATAATAAAATTATGTGTAAGCAAGCCCTTGAACAAAGAGTCAAGCAGTCTGCTCTTTAAATGACCAGTTTAAGCAAATTACCAGTGCTATCAATACATATTTCAGGAAGCATTTAGTTCCTTAAATAGGACTATATATGTTATCTTTTGTGGAATTTTTCCCATAGCAGAGTAAATCATCAAAATTAGACATTTTAAAAATACTAAGTATTTTGATTGCTAGAATTATAACTAAAATTTTTCAGAGACATTTGGTGACAATAAATCAATCACAGCTTTGGATAAATACGGATTTTTGCCTTCACCAGGTGATTTTTATTATAAGCTTATGCTTTGGGGGGAAAAATCCAATTCATATAATTTTAATGACATCAAATGTGTTGTGAGATTACATTTGGAAAGATTGTATTTGTAAGTAATGGTTACCATGTATGATAGAAAAGTTCCATTCACAGGTAAAATCTGTGGCAGCATAATATACCACATTTAGGTCAGATGCCCTAAGATAGCTGCGGTTTCCTTTCCAGGACTGTCTGGAGTTCTGAACACACTGATCTTCCTCAACAATGGGTCTCTTGCTTTCTCTTTCTCTTTGCCCCTCTACCCATTAAATAATCTTATTTAGAGTATTAATTAAGTAAAACTGTATCCACAGTTGTTGCCTTTGCTGTGGCTCTCTGGCAACTAAAAATAAAAATAGGTATTATCAGACAGGAAATGTTTTTAATGATTCATTTTTCAGGGATTGAAATAGATACCACTAGGAAACTTTCTGGCAAAAAAAAATAATAATTTAAGAAGATAACTTGTAACAAGGTAGTTTTGGCCATTTTTAAATCCTCCCCCAGTTTTCTTTGACACCCTTACCAAGATGATTTCCAGGACCACTATTTCTGTACATAAAGCATGCGATAAAGCTTGTTCTTACCAACATGTTTACTTTGATAATTGGGAGGAGTATAGACAGACAGAGATGTCGGAATAAAAGTAGAACACTGTCTTAAGCATTGAAGTGATCCTTGTAGATTTTTATGATCCTGTCAGCTGTACTAGAGTTTAGAAATATACATAGATATGGACGAGATAGTAGTGTTTCAGTGTCATTCTGTAGGGTTAAAACTGTCCATATCAGGTTGCATGGTGTTAAATCAGAACTTCTGGATCATGATCTTGAACTTTTAATTGGTTCCATTTCTGTTTGACTCTTCACTGACAAGTATTCTGTTGGCCTGAAAGTCCATGTTGGAATTTTAAGTTTTAAGAGTCCAAATCAAATATTTCAAATTATTTTACATCTAAAACTATCAATTGTGTAATCATGGTAAAACATAAACCTTTGCTATAAACGATTTTAAAGGCTATTTGATTAAAGCACTTATTTACTTAAACTCTTTGCTAGAATTTTTTTTAGAATTCAGCATCGGAGGAGGAATGTGACATAATAATGATCGAAAGCCGAAAGTTTAAAAGTTGTGATGCCCTCACATGGTTGGAGGGTTATTCTAGCTTCTAAGGACTGAATGTTGTCCACAAGAGTGTCTCATCAGGTCATAAATTGGTAAGACTTAATGGATTAGATTTTATGTACTATACCTGATGTTATTGTATTGAGATGACTATATGAACAAAATGAGCACGTTGTATAATTAATAGTATAAAATATAAGTTGAAAGTTGGAATTTTAACTATTTGGATTATGTAAAATTTGAAGTCTTCACAAAGCTCAAGACCCTATCCCTGTAATACTATTTATTAAATACATCAATTTAAAAAAGAAAGTGAAATCCTGTATGATAGTGACATTAAATATCTGTGTTGCATCTGTTGTAGATGCTTACAGTGTAGTGAAATGCCCAAAATACTTTGCAGCTATTTTTTCAGGAAATACTTGAGAAGTAATTCTTTTCTTTAAAAAAGGAATATATTTTTTCATAAAATATTGTATAAATTGATTGCATTTCCTTGGAGGATTTTACTTTCTTCATAAAAGGCCATCTTTAACTGTTTCTAAACACAGCCATATTTTTTCCCAGTTCTTATGTTGAAAATACTAAAAATGCCAGTGTCATATAAAAATAGTATATTTTTGTATATCCTGAAAATTAATTCCTTTCAGAATTCTTTGCTTAGGAAAACAACTTGTTTTATTTACCTTCCTGGTTTGTTTTCTAGAGCTGTATTTTGATGAAGTGGGCTCTTAGTAAGATTTAACTGAGGATTAGATCTTAAATTTTTTAATCTGAAATTCATACTTTGAAAATGAAGAAAAAACTATGGGCTAAGTTATATGTCCATAATTATCATTATAGAATTAATATTCTTATTAAGGTATGTTACACACACACTACAAAGCACTTTTTGGAGTTCCTTCTAAGAAAGCTAAGAGGAGTGCGTTGATAGCAACTGAGCAAGCCACTGTAGCTGTTTTAGCTTTGTCCTCAGGCAGACATAGATCTTTGTCCACTATCTCCTTATTCATATTCATGCCTACTCTGTCTTCTGAGTAATATCCTGTTGTTTCTAGTGTGGTTTTCTGTAACTTTTCTATAAACCTAAATTTCTTCAAGTGGTAAAGACGTAAAACCAACCAGTAAGCTTTTTTATTATTCAGTATACTTCCTGTTCATTTTCTATGACATCTGCATAACTCAATCAAAAGAATGATGTCTAATTTCACTGATGTATAATAAAGCCTTCAGAAAAGTATAAATTTTAGAAATGTGAGGTAGATTTATGTGAAAAGCTAAGAGCGTTTGTCAGATCTTCAAAAATAGTTAGTAGCAATAGTGAAAGTTTTGGCCGAGCTTGGTGGCACATGCCTTTAATCCTAGCATTCCGGAGGCCATCCTGGTCTAACATAGTAAGTTCCAGGACAGCTGAGACTACATAGTGAGACCTTCTTGGAAAAATAACAAGTAAACAGTGTTTTGTGTTTTAAAAGGCAAGCCTTATTTGTCACCCAAGTTTATGATTTACAAGAGGAATTTTTAACAAGTGCATTGGTCCTAGCTGCTTAGTTTGAAAACACACACACACATACACACACACACACACACACCCTCCCTCCTTCCCTTCCTCCCTCCCTCCCTCCCTCATACTTCTGGGTTTGGTGGTGCACGTGTTTAATGCCAGCACTTGAGAGGCAGAGGCAGGTGGATCTCTGAGTTCAAGGCCAGCCTGATCTACAGAGCAAGTTCCAGGACAGCCAGGACTGCACAGAGAGACCCTGTCTCAGGGGGTGAGAAGTGGGAGAATCCCATACTGTCTGTCCTTGTTCAAGTGTTGTTTGGATTGTTCTACAAGCTAGTTGTGCTTTTGCTACTGTCAGACACAGTATTCAGTGTTCTTGGTACATTATCTCATTAATTTTTCTAAGTCATAATTATATAGATACCATCTATCAGAATCCCTGATGAGGATTTTTGCTGTTTTGTGTTAGGGTTTGGTTTGAAGCAGGATCTCACTGTATAGCCCTGACTGGCCTGAAACTTGCTGTATAGACAGGGTAGTCTTGAACTCCCAAAGGCCCTCCTTCTTTCTGACTCCAGGATGCTATTATTACAGATGTGCATGACCATGCGTGTCAAATTTTCTTGTTTTGTTGAAGAAAAATACTTGTTGTGAGTTGTATAGTGTCAAAAATTATTTTTGCATTAGAAAATATTCTGTTCAAGTTTAGTGTTTATGATTATAAGCAAATAAATGGTTTAGAGAGCCTAGTGACCTGAGTTAAACTCCCGTGATCCGTGTATAAGTAGGAGAGAAGCCACTCGCACAAGCTGTCCTCTGACTCCATGTGCACACCTCCATGGCGCCTCCACGTGTGTGCTCTCTCTCTCTCTCTCTCTCTCACACACACACACACACACACACACACACACACTCTAAAAGGAGTAATGTGAAATATTAAAGTCTTAGTACATATTAGGATACTATTAAATGAGATTATTAAGAAACTCACCCTGGCCAGGCGGTAATGATACACACCTGTAATCCCAGCACTTGGGAGGCAGAGTCAAGCTGTGAGTTTGAGGCCAGACTGGTCTACAGAGTAAGTCCAGGACAGCCAGAGCTGTTTGACAGAAAAACCCTGTCTTGAAAAAAACAAAAAGGAAGAAAAAGAATTCCACCCTTAATGATAGTGTTATAAATAACAAAAACTAAGGAGGCTGTTTTAACAGCTCAAATTGCATTTATTTCATAGGATAGTGAAAAATATATGTAAAACTCTACTAAATGCTTCATAAGAATTTCTCAATTTGAATATTTCACTTTATTGTAAACCTATTGAAAAACCTTTTATTTGTACTTTTTAAACATTTATGAAGCAAAATGTCTTTTAGGTACATAAACCTTTAATCCTATGTGTGCTATGAGAATGTATTTTTGGTTTTGGTTTTATATCTCATTGAGTTTCAAATCTTATAACCTTTTTATATATTTTAGATATAGAGAACTATTAAACATTTTAAAGTTCTGTATGTCTGAATATGACTTATAGCCAGACATGGTGGTACACACCTAATCCTAGCACTTACAAAGAGGAGGCAGGAGGATTGAAGAGGATAATCAAATTTGATAATGAGATTCTGCTCAAAACATAAGAGTTGTTGATATAAGGTTCATGATATACTCATTGCATAAAATGTGCATAGCGTTGGTTTCAGTCTGCAGCACTACAATAGTAAATGGAAAAAGAGAGGGAAGGTAAAGTTAATCCAAAATGATGCTGCTTAAACAAGTTCAAGTTAAAAATTCTTAAGTTTGCTTACTCTTCAGTTAAATTGACATAGTTTGAAGACCAAAGACAAACTTTGTTCAATGTCAAATGATTAAAAGTATACAAACAACTTGACACCTAACCAGAATATGAAAGTCTTATCTGTAAACTGTTATTTTTTAGAATGCATTTATGCCTTACATTCTTTAGTAATAATACATATATGTTTTCAAAACATGACCTCTCTACTGGGCTGGCTCTCTAAATATCCCATTTTTTGGTCATCTCTGACTTTCTGGAATCTACATGTCAGCTTAAATATGACTCTTACAGCTTCACATAATTGTCCTTTCAGAAGCTTCCCACAGGGATTCTATTCTTGCCTCACATTGCCTGGCTGTCAAGTCCTCCTTTTGATAAGAGTGGGAGTTTCCATGGCCCCTCAGTGCCAACATCACTTAGGTGATACCAAAAAGATAATTATTACCATATAACTCATATAAGAATATTAGCACTTCAAATTCTATGGAAATGTTGAAGAAGGTGCATTGTCTAGTTAATTTATAGTACTAATATAAACATAGTTTGAAATGGTGAGGAGGAAGTATTGCTTAATAGAAATCACAAGATGTCTTTAATTATTGACTGTATTTATGGTTCAGGGACTTCTTGGGGCTATTTGCACCAAGATCCACTAATGTAAAAGGAATAAAGTGCTGGAATTTCTTCACACTCCCAAATCTAATTTACGAAGAAATCCCACTTGTTTACAAGGTATCTTGAAAGGCATTATGAACTGTCTTTATCTCATTTAACTAAATCTTCAAGTCTTTGTCCTGTTCTGCTCACTTCAGAATAACATTTGGTTTCTTTTACTTCCTCTTAGACTCATTTCTGATTGAATTGTCAAAGGAATTGGTCAGTTGAGAGAACTTCATCAATAGGCATTTATGAAATATGATTATGCCACTCAGATTTTCATTAGATTAACTAACCACTGTACAAATGTGGCTGAATCTGTGATTGCAATGTAAAAAGTCTGTCAGTTTTTATCTGAAAGATTAGGAGTTTTGAAAGTTCACCTTGTATTCCGTGAATGCTGAATTTCACTGGCATATACATCATGCAGTTGTCTGTAGCTTATAGAAACTGCTATACATTCCTTTCTCAATGAGTAAAACCAAATGTGAAGATCATTTTTTAAGGAGTATGCCATTAAAGGCTAGGCTCACATTCAAAAGTATAGAGAGCTGCAGTCATTGACTTGACTTCCATTAACTTTAGTAGGGAGAGAGGCTTCTTGAGAGGAGAGCTGCCTGTTTTTAACTGTTCCTGTGAGCCTCTTCTAGTCATTTCTAACAGTTCAAAGACCTGATTAGTTTCTTACATCTTTGTCCTGGCAACCTCAGCATCATGCAAGTTCAAACTGCACTTTACAAGTGTAATTAGATATTGTATTAAATATTACAAGCTAGTCATATGCAGCATATATAATAATAAGAACACCCCTGAGATGGAGAGTAGTTCCTGCTGTCAGGGTTTAAGAGGAAACATTTGCTAGAGACAAACAAAATTGTCTGTTGAAGAATTAGAAGACAGTTGACAAGACAGGCTGCTAACGAAGGCATGAAGGAAAGGCCCCATCTCAGATGACTTACCTTTTTTATCTAAATCAATGCGACAAATTGCAGATCATGATAGAAATTTAGAATTCTTCTCACAGACATTACACAAAGCTGGAGGCAGAAGGATAAGTCAGTAGTTAAAGGCACCTGCCACCACATTTGATATCCTGACTTCTGTTCTTGGATCTGTGTGGTAGAAAGAGAGAATCAGCCAAATCTGAATCTCACAGGTTATCATCTGACTTCCATACAGACACATCCCACTTAAAGTGTAATAAAAAGTTTTTAAACATTTACATAAGCTGACGTGAACAGATTCTGCTATGTGATATATCTAGATTTTACCTTACCTATAATACCTCCTTATCATTTCAGAAACATGGATCCAGCTTTAACTGAGAAAAGGCTGTTAGTAGTTAAAAGTTGGCCGTGTACTACTTAGTGTACAATTCTCTTATAATGAAGAAAAAAAAAGCTTGAAACCTTTTATATTTTCCTAGTGCTGTCTTACACTTGCCTCTATTGCTCTGCACCAGACAGTGTGATTCTACAGCAATAAATGGCTAGGGTCATAAGTGGGTTAAGCAAAGCAGCACTGTGTCCCAATGTTGCTAGGTATTTTTTTTTCTTTTAGTACGTTATTGCTGAAATTTCATGTAACACTAAAGGAAGGCCTGAACTATTTTTTAATTTTATGTTGAATTAAATTGATTCTGATAAACTTGAGTGTCCATTGGTGATCCTCCCCACAGTAATTATATTTTGTACAGTGAAACTGACAAATCTGAAGATTAGAGTTTGATTAACATTAGTCTACACAAATGCTGTATTTTATAAGCCTTAATAAATTTCAAATTCAGGTTAGTTTTATTAGTATATATATTTTGGGATTGCATTAAGTCTTAACATTTAACTACTAGAATACAAAAAAATGAAAGTAAATCTAGAAGGCTGTAATTAGGATTGTTTAAAATTCTTGGGATAACAGTAAAACATGTTTTCTAGTAGCTAATCATAATTAATTTTAGGCCTCTTTATGGCTTTAGGAGCTTAATTCTTACTTTGTAGTTTAAGATAAATTTAAGGAAGTTAACCTTAAAGTGTCAGAAAAACAAAGTAACTGTTTCAAAAAGTCGAAGGAACTAATTGAAGTTTGTGGGGTGTTTTTTGCCATGAGTCCCTTGACAAGTTTTCTTTAAGATACTACAGCTGTGACCCCACTGTACAAATGTGGCTGGTCATAGTATGTTAGCTACCTAGGGTCCACCATCCCTGTGTGCGCCCCCACTCCCTGCTGTAGTGAGTGGGTAGAATTTAGATTTTATAACAGCTGGAGGCTGAGACAGGAGGACCCTGAGTTTGAGTTTAACCTGGGTTATGTAGCAAGATTTTATCCAAAACAGAACAAAAACAACTTTTTTCTAATTCAGAAATCTATGCTCTTAAAAATGAATATTCTTCATGAATTTAGTTTTTACTTAGACAATAGATGAGAGATAAGCTGTTTTACCTCCATTCCCATAATGACTACCCCACCATGAAATAGAGAGCAAAGGGGATTTTAGTAGTAATAAAATGATGGTCAGGCAGCATTATGCTTAATCTGTGCTGTTCATTTGTTGAAGGTTTGTTTGCTCAGAGTTAAGTCTGTGTAAGTTTTAAGCATCTCAACTGTAAAACACTGGTTGGCTTATCAAAAGTCAAATAGAGTACAGTGTGTTGATATATATGCCAGAAATCATCACACTCCAGAGGCAGAAGGGGTAGGATTGCAAGTTTGAGACCAGCTTTGGCTACTTGAAGAAATCCTAAGCAAAATAGAGAGCAGATACTTCCCCCAATAAAGAATACTGTTCATGTCTGTAGGGAATAATGACTTTGTTTGGTGGTGTCCTTTTAGTCCAAACAAGAATCAAGCAATTACACATTCAGAAACTTATTATTCTCTTATTCTTCTGGGCTTAATCCAGTTGAAATAATCCCTTGACAACTTTCATTTTATTTACTACTGCCCTGGACTTTGGGGGTAGATAATGAATGAACATAAAGTAACAAGGAAAAATGAGTAACCTAAGAACAAATGTTTTAGTTATGTAATATTAGTGGCTATTATTTTGTCATATGTTTTGTCCATAGAGTTAGGATCTTTTTTCTAGAAAGCAGATCTAAATATCTCTTTTCTTTCAAGAAATGGGCATAAATGAAAATAGTAACTATAAAATAGATAAGAATTTATAGTCTTCACTATTTGAATTTTAATTTACAAAGGAATAGTCTCATTTTCATTTTGGTCAAACAGTGTAGAAACAGGATTGGGAGGATCTATTCAAAACTGACTGCTTAGCTGGAAAAGACAATATGTTAGGTTCTTGAGAAAGGAGACAACTTGAGGCTATTGAATAAATAGTATTCCTAAGAACTATATATGCTTTCCCATGTCCATCTTACATAACTTTTTGTGTACTTGCCATTTTATCCTAACTCTAAGCATGTTCATTTTCTCCTACAGGTTGAGGTAGCTACCACATTCTTACAACTCTCAGATCTGGAACTCTGGGCCTGAGACTCCTCTGGCTTTCTATATAGCTAATCTCTATAATCTTTCTGTATCTCTCTACCAGGATCCACATTTCAAATGAAACCTAAACTACCCCCTTCCCTACCTTCCAAATCTAGTTGCCTTCATCATGGCACACTACCATTGTCTAATTCCTGGTTGTCCTAGGCCTTGTCCCCTGTCATCTTTTGCATTTCTTCACGGTGGAGTCCCTTTTCCTCTTCATCTATGTGATCTCATAGTCTCTATGCTTCTTTTTAATCTTAGCACAACACTTTCATACCTGTGAATATCCTGCTATCTGCTTCTCAACTTTCTCTACCATTGGGTTAGCAGTTCCTACACAGAGAGGGAAAGAAACCGTACTTATGTGGTTATACCCTTTCATAAAACTCTGCAATCAGTTGACAAAGGAATGCATATTTGATGAAATTTACCAAAGGATAAATGACTTGATATGAAGCCAAGCTACACTGTATTTATTAATTCCATAGCTGGTGATCCTGCCACCCTGAATGCTGCCAAACTTCTAGCCAGTGAACTTTGGCATCCTTGGTATAGAAAAAGCAGAGTATGTAAGAGTTACCTAGAAAGATATAAATGCTGGGGTGAGCATTTATTTATAAATAAATGCTTATTTATTTGTAGAAAAAAAGAAGTGAGTTCGTTCAGGATTTATAACTTGTTATTCCAGTAGATTTGGATTATCTAAATTTATATATTAGATACTTGACTGTAAGAACATAGGATAGGGCTGCCTTAGATGGCTCGGTGGTTTGGTACTTATTGCCAAACCTAACAACCTGAGCTGGCTCTTGGTTGTAGAAAGAGAATACCGACTCTCGGAAGTTGTCTTTTCACTTTGAACACAAGCTCTCCTCACAGACACAAAATAAGCAAATCAATGTAATTAAAGTATGTGTGTGTATACACATATATATACTTTTATGTATGTATGTATTTACTTGTTGTATGGATGGATGTTTTGCCTTCATGTCTATATGTGCACCACATGTATGCCTCTTGATGATGGAAGTCAGAAGTTGACTCCCCTGGGGCTGGAATTACAGACAGTTGTGAGCTGCCATGTGGATGCTGGGAATCAAACCTGGCTCCTCTGCAAGAGCAGCAAGTGCTTTTAACCACTGAGCCATCAGAATATAAAATGGTAGCATTGTCAATGTCCACTGTCCAGGAAGAATTACTATAAAGAAAGTTATACAGGAAACAGTTTGGAATGTGATGTAAAATTTTGTGCATAGAGAAAGAGGCCTTAGAACCAGCACAGCTCGTGACACAAGATTCAAGTATACTAATTGTTGAGACATCTTTACAGAAGAGAAAACTTGAGCTGAGAGCAAATTTTAAAAAATGGTAGAATTACCACGAAGTACTCAGGGAGAAAAACAAACAAAGAGTAGGGTTGCTAGAGAAATGTTTGTACTAGAGTACTTGCCACGCATGCAGAAGACACAGGGCTCCAGCCAGCCTTAGCAGAGAGAGAGAGAGGGAGGGAGGAGTGGATGAGTGAGTGAGTGAGTGAAGAAAGCCTGGAGGGAATGAAATTAAAGATTTCCCATTTAAAATTTGAGCAGGTATTTGAAATGGGTAAGGAAAAAACATAGGGGTTACATATGGGGTTCATTCCTGTAAGCCCTAGCATTTTAGAAGTGGAAGCAGGAGAACCAAGAGAACTCAAGACTGGGGGCTGGAGAGAGAGCACACTGGTAAAGAACATGGCTGCTCTTCCTGAGGACTAGGCTTCCAGTGCCAGCACCCAACATGGTGGCTTACAGCCATCCCTAACTCTTGAGTCCAAGAGATCCGGCATCCTCCTCTAACTTCCTTGGGAACCGCATGCACGTGATACACAGACCTCTATGTAGGCACAACACGCATACATATAAAATTAGATTTTAAATTTAAAAGTTCAAGGCTGGGATGATAAGAAAGCTCCCTAGGCAATGCTCAAGCCAAATGACCTGAGTTTTGTATCCCAGAATTACGTACTAGGAATCAGTCTATGCTCACAAATTGTCCTTTTGACTTCAGCATGAACGTAAAAGAGGTCAAAGATAGCTTGGACTAGTGAGCCACTACCATGAAAACAGAACAAAACAAATACATAAGTTACCCTTTGACATAAATGCAAAGGGCTTCTATTAGGCTAATTTCTTTTGCAGAGAGAGGAAGCACCTTTTGTTACTGCTGAGGATTCCTAAATTAATGTTAGATGAATGTAGCTATTTCCAGATGATTATTTTTATGCCCCACTACTGATTGAAAATGTGTTCTGTCCATGATTTGTAAAGTGAAACACGTGAAGTTTTACTTTTGTGTTTTTATTTCTCCAGACACTCTTTTTTGCCAGGTTTTTCTCAGGTTGTATTCATTTTCACAGATTTATACCTTGAAAACTTCTCATGACCCTTAAGTAATTGAAGAAAAAAATGCTGCAGTTTCTTCTTAGTTAAGGGGAAACAATGGTGTTAACCTATTAAAGGAAGAGTTGATCTCTACTAGAAAATGCCTGGCTCTGAATGTTTTTTTTTTTCCTTTCCTAATCCAGCTGAAATCCTTAACTCATTAGGTGTTTCTGACATTAAAATTTCTATTATTAGGCTTAAGT